GTCCACCCATCTTAAAGTTGCTGAGGTTGAGGAACCCCGATTTACACGATAGCCTGGTTCACACAACATAGTAAGACAATGGTTCACTTCCCCTATCAAACCTAATCTAAGTTACCAGATCTGCAAACATTGAAAAGTCCAGTAGATGGCAAGAGACAGTCATTTCTGTCTCATTTCACTGCCATCTAGTGATCTGCATTTTTGCAGCCCAAGTTTAGCAGTGTTAGTCAAGACCCAGTTGGGTGTGGTGGTTAAAGCCAGCAGGCTAGAAACTGGGAAACTGCACATTCCAGTCCTGCCTAAGGCACGGAGTTGCACGCAACCAGCTGGATGACTTTGGGCCAGTTCCTCTCTCTCGGCCCTAGGAAGAAACAATGGCCAACTGTTTCTAAAACTGTGGAGTCCTTGGGGCTCTCTGAGCTTGGTTGTTTGCTTGCAGACGTTTCATTACCCAGCTAGGTAACATCATCAGTGCTGTTTCTAATTGCATTTAACTGCATTCAAAACTGCACCTAACCATTTCTAAAACTGTTTTGCCAAGAAAACCGCAAGAACTCATCCAGATAGTCAGCAGGAATCAAGACTGACTTAAAGGCACAAAATATATAGTCTAGTATAGCATGTTTGTGTGAACCTAACCTTCATATCCAAATGCATTAAAGCATAGTTGCATTCCTAAATATGATAATATATGCAAATATGTATATATAAATGACATAAATAAATACCTGAGGGACTGTCTCACCCCCATCACATCAACCCATCCCACCCAGTCAGGCAGAGAGGGCATGTCGCAGACCCCGTCAGTGAGAGAATGTCGGATGGTGGGGCCCAGGAGGAGAGCCTTCTCTGCCATTGCCCCCACCCTATGGAATACTCTCCCCCCAGAGGTGCGGCAGGCCCCTACCCTCCCGGCTTTCCAGAAAGGACTAGAGACCTGGCTCTGCCAGCTTGCGTGGGGTGACAACACTCTGACCCAATCCTGGGGGTGGCTGGCACCTTGATGACGCTCCCTGAGTGACTGCCAATTTTAACATCTATCCTTGGATCTATTTATTTTCTATTTATTAAGATTGTTGTATATTGTAATTGTAATTGACTTCAACTGTTTTGTAAACCGCCCAGAGCCATTTCAACAAGGTGGGCTGTGACAAATTTGATATATAAATAAATGAATAATAAATATAAGTAAATATTCAATAGAACATTTCCTGAACTTGAAATTGGAATGTGTCAAAGAATGGCTGGTTATAAATGATAAATATATTCTTACGCATATAAGAGTGTAGGAAACTTGGAACAGAATATAGGGAGTCCTCAGGTTAAGAATGCCTGGGTTACAGATGACCCATAGTTAAGAACAGAGCCTACTGTAGCAAAATTTGAGTTAAATACACAATGGTTCAAGTTCCTTATACAATACTACTTATACCAGTGTTTCTCAACCTTGGCAACTTTAAGATGTGTGAACTTCAACTCCCAGGATTCCCCAGCCAACTGTAGGAAACTTGGAACAGAATATAGGGAGTCCTCAGGTTAAGAATGCCTGGGTTACAGATGACCCATAGTTAAGAACAGAGCCTACTGTAGCAAAATTTGAGTTAAATACACAATGGTTCAAGTTCCTTATACAATACTACTTATACCAGTGTTTCTCAACCTTGGCAACTTTAAGATGTGTGAACTTCAACTCCCAGGATTCCCCAGCCAACTTTGCTGGCTGGGGAATTCTGGGAGTTGAAGTCCACGCATCTTAAAGTTGCCAAGGTTGAGTAACACTGACTTATACAGTATTATACAATCATACTGTTCTGGCTTCCATACAAATTCAACTTAAGGACAGACCTTGGGACCGGAACTCGTTCTTAAAATGGAGACTGCCTGTATTTATACAAAAGAGTACATATGTTGATTCATGTTGATGCAAACGGTTTTATTAGAATTACTGGTTAATCCTGCATATGTGGGTTTTAGCTGGCCCAGAAAAGTGTTGCTGTTATTATTAATTACAAACTGATTATCAGGGGTGCTGTAGACATTGTAGAGACACATGAATTTTATTTTGTTCGTTCATTTGAAGACTGCATACACCAGGGCAATATCCTTTTTGCCTGCAAGCTTTCTCATTATAATTCTTCTCTTTCTCTCTTTCTTTTCCAAGTTACCTTTATAAGAATGAAATTCAAAGCATTCAGCCACAGGCTTTCGAGGGGCTGCATTCTCTGGAACAGCTGTAAGTTGGCAGGACGTTGAGTTAGAAATTGCAGAGACCAATGGAATTTCATCTCTGGAGTTTAGCTATTCAACCCCCACCTCTCCTGCCCTCATCCTCCCTTCCAAGACACCAACTGCAAGTTGTTCTAAAACAATCTTTGGCTAACCAAGATGATTGTGGGCCTTGGCAAGAGCCAGCTGTGACAAGATGAAGCAGCACCAAGAGCTTCTTGCAGAATGATGGAGGCCCATCCCGCAAGTCGTCTTCTCCCCCTTCAGAATCCCATGCTCTGTCTTACTGAGTTGCGTTATGTGCCCTTTCAGAAGATTTTCTTCTAAACATTGATTAAGATCCTAATCAACACTGAAGCATTGGAGTTCTCTCTATTTGTGGATCTCTCTCTTGTGCACTCTGTTGTAGCTATCAAAGTGTTGCTTTTAGGAGAACTGACGTCATTCTTGTGGTATGTCCGTTTTCAATCCTGCAGACTAGGAATTCTGGGAATTGTAGGCCACGATGAATGTACAGTAGATCACACTTGACATTTTGGCCAAGCAAAGGCCACAGTGGGCAGAGCAATAAGGGGAAATGAGTGGGGCCATATTTTCTCCTTGGATTTGGTTCTTCCATCCCTATTTGGAGGTTTATTCCTTTCCCCCCCCCCTTGCATTCTTCCTACCTTAAAATGGCAGGAAACTGTGCCGCCAATTTTCAGCATCTGTAGTTGGAGGGGCAGTAGGGGGCCTCACTAATAGCCTTGAAGGCTACCTGTGGCCCACAGGTGCCCCCCCCCCCAGTTGAAATAGAGATGTTCATTGCTCAAGGAGACAATTCTTCTTGCAATTTGTGGAGGCCTTGAAGGCAACAAGTCTTCATTTTGATGCTCAGAAGGCCTCTGTGGAGGTCATGCAGTTCATGATGTCTGCAAAGAGACTCATCATCCCTGCTAGATACACAAAATAAAGTGTTCCTCACCATTTATGGTGAAGAAAGTGTGCACTCCTCAAATGATCTCATATGGAACCAAAGCCAAAAACTGATCTCTTCCCAGCATATATAATCACCAGGAGGTGGTCCAAACTGTTCTTCCACAAATCTTCTGGAATTGCTTGAAAATAAACACACAACTCTAATGAAGTCAATGCAATCTCCCGATGCATTGCTCTGGGTGTTGGACAACTGATTGGAGAAGGAATAAGGTACTTGAGGTGTGATTTTTTTTCAAAAAAAGGGCAAGTTTCCTGAATATTCTTTTTTTTTTTTTTTTTTTTAGTGTCACGTATCTGGCCATATGCATTTACAATCAATCAGGACATTAAAGAGACTGAAGACCCCCATCTGCTTTCAATTGTAGGAACAGGTTTTGATTCAGATCCTTTGGCGTTCCTGAAAGAACTCCATCCCTTTGCTCAAATCCATCTTGTAAAACTATGAGCCGCTTACGGGAGGACCCAAGGTGTCTTTTTGGATTGCAATGGGATTTTGCAAGAATGCTTGAATGCCTTGCCTTGAATGCCTTGCCACCCGCCCTGAATGCCTCCACTGTTTTGAGAGCCATGTTATACAGCTCTCTTTTTTACACATCCGAGTCAACGGGAAAGGAATTGTCCTTCTATTCAGTCTCATCCTGTTTAAAATACTTTACCATGTGTCTAAATGCATCAGAAGGGTTGAGAAAACTCAAGAGAGCTGAATGTGCTACGTTCCTGGCTAGAGAAACTAAACAATTGTGTTGGAATCGAAGCGGCTGTCCAGAATAATTAGGCATCACGGAAGATGGGAAAGACTAACAGAGCTATTGCAGGCTAGATAGCAGCTGTTTTTTTCAGGGTCTGCAGTAGCAACGTGGCAGGGAGAAATTCAGTTGCTTTGGGAAAGGGGTTTTTCACCAACAGAGAAAACTATGCCCACTGAATTTCTACCTTTCTTGTCGCCAATTAAGATTCCCACCCACCACATATGGCTTATTCCTGCTGTCTATTGTGGCACTTCCCAAATTTGTAATCGCTGAGGTGTATCACTTTTTTTACAATTACAGTTAGAGACAGAATTCCCTATAACACCAAGGGTTTTTTTGTGGGGAGCTTGTAAGAGAAAATATGGATTATTTTCGGAGGATCCTCTGTGGCTCATCTTAACTTGAGCTGACGTTGGGGCAGGAAGGAACTCATGGGAGCTCTCTCAAGGGACAAGTTTGCAGTCTTTGTATCAGGAAAGAAGGAATGATACAGATAAGAAGGAAGAAAGGATTATGGAATACTGTAAAACAGAAGAGGGGTCCATCTCTGCAAGCTAATCTTTCTGGTTCATGACAAACTTTAGTGGGAGTTCCCCAGCATAGTGCTCCCCAAACATGTTGAATCTGCAACTTTCAAAATTCCCTACTATTGCCCTAGCTACGAATTCTGGGAATCAGGAGTGTCTGCTGCAGGTCAAAAAAGTCAGGATGGAGTCTGCAACCCACATGCGTGAAGTCATGCCCCTTTCTTGTGTGCATCACCCAATAAAGTTGAATCCTGGAAAAATCAGGACAGACAGAAGGACATTTTTTTTACACAATGCACAATTCAGCTTTGGAATCTGCTACCTTGAGAGGGGGTGCTGGCTACCAGCTTGGCTGGCTTCCGAAAAGGGTTGGAGCCATTCCTGGAAGTCCTGGGGATCCATGGACCTTAGCCTTGATGGCAATGGGGCTGCCTCTGAAGGCCATCTGCTGGTGGGCTTCCTTGGACAGTTGGTTGGCCATTAGGAGAACAGCCTGCTGGACTAGATGGGCCAGGGGGCCGATCTAGCAGGGTATGGCTTACGTTCTTGTGTTATGATCACACAGTCATGGCCTACATCTTTGTTTTTGGACCCACCCCCATGGACTCCCCAGCTGGAATTGCTAAGCCAACAGATCACGTGGGCACCAGATTACTTTTCCTATATTGCTTGCAGTTTGGAAATTAATTATCTATTCTGTTTCTTTGTTTTATCCCTTTTCATACCAGCTACCTGCATTTTAACAACCTTGAAAGCTTGGAAGCGGGAACTTTTAATGACCTGCCCAAACTGGAAAGACTGTAAGTCATGCAGCGATTGACAACAGATGAGTACAATAGTAACTTTTGGCCATGCATATTTCATGCAGACTCCAAATTGATTCTGATTTTTAACAAGGGAGCCAATGGCCTTGTTCACCAAGTGCCCTGAAATCTAGGTTATTAGTAATAGTTCATTCAGTAAAATACAACTGACTGGATATGTACAATGTACTAAGCCACAAAGCATTTTACAGCAGAATGCCTGGTTTCGTGCAGCCCACAATGCCAAAATGGTATAAACCACACTATGGCTTTTATTCTTAGTTCATATATTTCTAAGCCAAATCAAGATTTTATATGGATGCTTACAATGAAATATGGTCCTCCTTTAACTGAAACTCTTCTGTAAAATTTGATATATACATATATATGTATGAGAGCCCTATAACTGCTTGCTTTCTTCCATCGTTGTTTTGTTTGGTTTATTAAATAAAGGTCTCCCCCAAAGCCATGTGGAATAAGAGTATCAGATCTGGGTTACAGACATTTAGACAACCACTAGATGGCAGCAAAGAATTAAGATATTCCGTTGCTCTTTGTTGCCACCTAGTGGCCGTCTGAATGTTCGCAGCCTACATTGGGTACTTGTAGCCTTTCAAGATATAGCCAAGGGATCAGCAGCTGCGAGCATCTCTGCTATATTTGGTCCTCGCCTCCCACCCCTGAGTCGGTGGATCAAAATGTTGTAGAGCTTGTGGTGGGCAGTGTAGCTGCAGTTAGTGGCCAAGAAGGAATGCTGCTTCATTCCTCTGACCATCTCTTTTCTCGGCCCCCATGACTTGCTGTGTCCCCCACTCACTGTTCTTATTCACCAGCTTTTCACCACTGCCATGCAACGTACATGTAAGGGCCCTTCTGGGCATGGTGGTTGCCCCACTCCAGGATCACCCCATAAGCCTGTGCCCTCTTGATACTGTGGGTCTTTCATAGCCCTTCTGCAGCTGAGACCATTTCTGGTTCAACGTGGAGCACAAGGAACTGTTGCAAGAACATTTTTGCAGCATTAACTTTTAAACTTCGAAGCAGAAAGTTGCTGTGGTCTGAACTTGTAGAGGGCTTACTTAGAGAAGACCCACCTACTGCAAACACTCATCCACATGGGTCTACCTTGAAGTCACAAGTCTTTGATGATCCCTCAAGCATATCCTCTTTGTTCTCCCCAACACAGCTTCTTGAACAACAACCGAATTTCCCAGATCCAGCCAGGAGCTATTGGCCAACTTGAATCCCTCAAACGTCTGTAAGTAGACAACACGCACTACAGAAAATGATTCACTGTCATGGTTTTTACCTAAGGAGCAGGATGGAGGCAAAAGAGAACCCTTCTTCAGCAATCCAGTGGTTTTGCCCCCAATAAATATGACTGGAATTAACCATCAAAAAGGCCAGGTCACTGGGTAACCCCCTCTCCCTCACCAACAAAGCTTCTTTAGGGACCCCACTCCCTTAGGGACCCACACTTCCTTTGGGACTCCCACTGATCTCATCTGGACAGTTGGAAAGTAACATTTTTTATCCAGGAGATGTGCCAGTTTGAGGCTGTGGATCTTGCTCCTTGAGACTATAGGAAAGCCATAGTGACTCTTACATTTTTAACTCAGTGCATCATACAGGCAGGCAACACACTGATGTAAGTCAGTGTTTCTCAACCTTGCCAACTCTAAGATGTGTGGACTTCAACTCCCAGAATTCCCTAGCCAGCAATTTGCTGGCTAGGGAATTCTGGGAGTTGAAGTCCACACATCTGAAAGTTGCCAAGGCTGAGAAACACCGATTTAGACCATGAATATCTCACCTTTCCTCTACAAAAACTTAGTACAAAGTATTTAATTTGGATGAGTACAATCAGCAAGGCCCAGCTTTTGCTCACAGAGAAATAAAAGGGATTCTGAAAGGAGAAGGTGATATGAATGTAAAAGAAAACTTATTTTCCTGACTCAGATTTGGGTCTTAGCATCTGATGCCCCTAAATCAGTGGAACCAGAGTCATTTGTTCCAGATGGGCTGGGAAGTGACAGAAAACTTGTTAAAGAAGACATTGCAATGTTGTTCCAGTATCAGGAATAAAATTTTACCTATCTGTCTTGAAAAGGTGCTGATCTGATTTAGGAGAAAAGAAGCTGCTGATTCGGGCTTTCTGGTCTATGTATTCAGGCTGTGTAATGCTTTGGATCTGATGTGGAAAAGGTGCTTTGGAACCTATGGGAGCACATACACAGCCCTTGCCTGTGACCCACTGAAGGAGCCATGTCTGCTGTCTTGTGACTCTGAAAGAGAGACGGTTGTTTTAATGAGTCACAGGGAGAAGGCATATTTGTGTTTCCACACGTCTCGAAACACCTCTTCCAAACTGAACCTGAAGTCACACACCCTTAACAGATACCCGTCAAATACAAAATATGAACTATTAAGTAAACCTTCAACTAGGAAGAATATAAGATGTGAGCTCGTGTCAAAGACATTTCAGCTATTCAGAAGGACAGCTCCATTCCTTCTTATCTGTGTGGGTGGTTCAGCTTGACCCGTTAAGCGATCTGCAAACCTCGATGTGGAAACATGTTCCTGGTTCACTTGTGTGAATGCTGAGCCAAACACTTTTTGAAAGCATTTTTGAAATGCTTTTTGGATTTTGAAAAGAATTGTGCTTTAGTAAAAAGAGGCGGAAAAGGCATGTTTGCTTCAGAGAATGGTCTAAAAATAAATATTGCGTACTGAAGGTCCTACGAGACCAGTTTCAAGGAAAGTTTGACCATTTCCCAAGTGATCTCTGACCCAGGCGTTGATCAGATGACTAGCACTGGGCCAATTTTTTTCTTTTTTTCCAGCTGTTTGTTTTGATCTCATAAAGAAAGAAATGGCTTTGGAATGTCTTTTTCAAAAGAGAAGAGCATGGTGGGGAAATTTCTAAACAGGATGTAGTTTTTGCCCACTTCTATAAGGCAGCAAAGGGGTCTGGACTTTCACTGTGGAATCCTCTCATCATTGGCCTACAGCAGTGTTTCTCAACCTTGGCAACTTTAAGATGAGTGGACTTCAACTCCCAGAATTCCCCAGCCAGCCTGGCTGGCTGGGGAATTCTGG